GGACGCAGGAGGAGACGGCAGAGGGACAAGCAGTGGAGCAGTGGAAGGACGCAGAGCCATCTGTTGCATGCCAGGGACACGAGGAGGACGCTCACGCGGAGCACGACGACCAGTGCGAACAACGCGAACAGGCGACGCAGGACGAGACTCAGGCTCACGACGCTCCGTAAGACCTCCTATCGGACCAGTGTAAGGAGAAGGAGCAGGCAGTGGGGAGGCCGGCTATAACTATGACTCGGACTGGACAGGCTGTGGACACTCTAAGGAAGGAGCAGGACCAGTAGAAGGCGGGAGACCAAGAACCTGCTCAAGGAGCGGAAAAAAGTACGGCCGCGGCCGCGCAGCGCCTCCAGAACCAGCAGGGAGAGCACCAGCACCCCCAGCGTCAGCTCCAACTCCTGCAGCACCAACAGCTCCAGCAGCACCTCCAGCAGCTCCATTAACGCCAACTCCAGCACCCCCAAGAGCACCGGCTCTAGCAGCACCTCCAGCTCCAGTACCTCCAGCTCCAGCACCTCCAGCAGCTCCAGTCCCAGCAGCACCACCAAGCCCAGCAGCTCCAGTACCTCCGGTACGAGCACCTTCGGGACCAGTGGCTCCAGAACTCCCAGCAGCAGGAACTCCAAGGGGGAGGGGGTCTACCGGGGGAGGACCTGGCGCGAGGAAGAGCGGCGGGGGGGGGAGGGGGGCAGTGCGGTAGGGGAAGAGACGGTAGTAAGGAACCGACTCGTCAAACGTGACGTCCTGAGAGGACAGAACACGGCGCGAGGTAGGGTGGTAAAACTGCCAACCAGGCGCGTCAGGGGGGAAGCCAAGGAAGACGCAGGGAACAACACGGGAGGACAGCTTGTCCGCAGACAAGTCGCGGACGAAAGCTCGAGATCCCAAGACACGGAACGCAAACGCATCGCCAACCTTCCCAGTCCACCGCAGAGTAGGTGTGGTCTCCGGCACGGAGACCCGGGGCTGGAGGTTGATCTGATGCGCCGCGTACTGAACCGCGAACGGCCACAGAAAATGGGGAGCAGCCGCATGGATCATGGACGTACGAGCGACGTCCATGACCATGCCAATGCGGCGCTCAGCAATCCCATTTTTCTGTGGAGAGGCCGGAAGCGTGAACGTCTGGTGGATGCCCTCCGCATGACAGAAGGCTCGTAGAAGGTCGGAGGAAAACTCTCCACCTCTGTCAGAGTGCAAACGCAGAACAGGAAAGTCCGAGCCGAAACTCTCTCTGAGCTGGAGACGGGCAGCGCGGATCCAGTCGATCAACACCTCAGTGACCTCACCCTTGCGGCGCAAGGGGAAGACTGTGGTGTAACGCGAGTAGTCGTCAACAACCAGCAGGAAGAACAGCTCGTGACCCTGTCCACGGACGCGGGCTGGGCCCCACACGTCCATGTGGAGAGTCTGCAGCGGAGCCTCTGTCGGAGGAAACTCGGAGGAGTGAGGAGCGGCGCGCTGCCGGCCCTCGACGCAGGGAACACAGGTAGGGGCAGGCCCCGGAGGAAGGGGAGGGAGAGACCGGGAGAGACCAGAGACAAGGACACGGGAGGCCATGCCTCGGAGACGAGGCAGGGAGGGGTGACCAAGGCGGTGGTGCCAGAGGAGATTCTGGTGAGACAGGAGGCGACACGAGCAGGGGGCAGACTCAAGACCAGACCGGGACGCTGCAGCAAACACCTGACCCGACGCAGCTACCTGACCAGACTCAGCAACCGGAGGAGACACGGTAGTCAGGGTGTACAAGCTCGACCCAGGCTGACGGGTGAACGTGGCCAGGTGCTGGCCCGTCCGAGCACACGAACAGTGGGTCACCCGCTGACCTCCAGGAGTGAACTGGTCAACCCACGCGTCCTGAAGGTCAGCTCCACTCACCAAGTTCGTGGAGAACGGGGGGAGGTGGAGGCCAGACAGTGAGCCAGACGGGACCGCCGGACACGGCAGAACCGTGGAGGAGTGGGCAAGGACCGGACCCCCAGAGGGGTCAGCCAGAGAGACTGCCACCGGCTGACTGAGCGGCGAGAGTGTGGTGCAGTCATAAAAGAAGGAGCGGGAAGCACCTGAGTCAAGGGTGAAAGTGTGCAAGGCCACAGCAGGCGCAATACCAGAGAGAGCAGACTCACCAGCACCTGGAGGAGTGGACTCCCTAGCGCCTAGGGCAGCAGCCTCACCGGCACTTGGAGCAGGAGACGCACCAGCACCTAGAGCAGCAGCCTCACCAGCACCTAGAGCAGCAGCCTCACCAGCACCTAGAGCAGCAGACTCGATACCTGGGTCAGGCGGCACACACAGGTAACAGGCACCCTCAGCACTAGTAGGCAATGCATACATGGCAATGAGGATAGCATCATAGTCAAGAGCATAGATATCTACCCTCTGCCTAAGCAGCTCCACCCAGTAGGGGAGCTCAGCCGCGTCGCCAAACTCTGTACGCCAGGCGTCGCTCAGACGGGAGAAGCAGCGGGACTCTGTGTGACCAATCGTCCCACAAGGCTGACCAGCCCGAGCACCAGTGCGAATGATGTACGGGCAGCGGGCAGTACTCCGTGACCCTCCACTCTGAGCGTACCACTCACGAAGCTGCTGGGGCGAAAGGACCGCGCGCGGAGGCTGCTGCAGCTACACCTGGTCACTACAAGAAACTCCCGAACGACCTGCTCCAGGGCGACTCCCACCACGGCCACCCCTACAACCCCAACTAGCGTACCACTCACGAAGCTGCAGGGGTGTGAGGGACTCACGCGGACGTCGCTGGAGCTGCATCTGGCCACCGCCAGGAGCAGCAGTAGCAGTAGTAGCCGCAGTTGCAGCAGTAGCAGCAGTAGCAGCGTGGCCACCCCTACAACCCCAACTAGCGTACCACTCACGAAGCTGCTGGGGCGTCAGGGACTCACGCGGACGTCGCTAGAGCTGCATCTGGCCACCGCCAGTAGCAGCAGTAGCAGCAGTAGCACCTAGGGCAGCAGCACCTAGGGCTCCTCTTTTTTTTTTTTTTTATAATTAATTATTTATTTTAGGGTTTGGCAGGGCGCACTCGGCGCTGCAAAGGCGGCTCGCGGGCTGCAGGGGTGGCTCGCGGGCTGCAGGGGCAGTGCGCTGGCTGCAAGAGGCAGGCGCGCTGGCTGCAGGGGCGGTTCGCGCAGGGGAGGCTCACGGGCTGCAGACGGGCGGCGCGCGGGCTGCAAGGGTCTGCGCGCGGGCGGCTTGCACGGGGCGGCGCGTCGCGGGGCGGGCAGGGGCGGCGCGCAGGCAGGCAGGGCAGGCGGGCGTCGCGGCGGGCTGGGGCAGCCCGCTCTGGCGACGCGACGGGCACGGGCAGGGCCGACGGGCGACGCGACAGGCTGCAGGGGCGCGCGACGCGACGGGCTGCAGGGGCTTGTGACGGGACGGGCTGCAGGGGCGCACGGCGCGGCGGGCAGCAGGGGCGCACGACGCGACGGGCAGCAGGGGCGCTTACCAGGGGCGGGTGCAGGGCAGGGCCGCGATGGGTGGGTAGGTCGAGTAAGGGCGACGCCCCGGGGGCGCCGCGACGAGTAGGGGCGGCGTCCAGGGGGCGCCGCGACGAGTAGGGGGGGACGCCGCGCGGGTCCCGCAGGGGCGTCGCGACGAGCAGGGTCTAGGGCGGCGCGCGAGCTGCAGAGGCAGCTCCCACAGGCTGCAGAGGCAGGCACGGCTGCAAGGGTAGCGTCCACGGGCTGCAGGGGCAGGCACGGCTGCAGAGGCAGCGCCCACGGGCTGCAGGGGCAGGCACGGCTGCAGGGGCAGGCACAGCTGCTCGGGAGGGCGGCGCGCGGGCTACAGAGGCAGCTCCCACGGGCTGCAGAGGCAGGAACGGCTGCAGGGGCAAGCACGGCTGCAGGGGCAGGCACGGCTGCAGGGGCAGCTAAAAAAAAAAATCAGTTAGGGCAGGGCGGAACGTTCGGTGGGCCCTAGGAACGATTCTGCTCTAATACCATGTGAGAATAAGAACGAGGAATGGATTGACTAGGAATGAGAAAGGTACAAGTATGAAACCCTAGAAAAGCTGTACCCCCTATTGGCTACCCCACTACAGCCTACACAGGCTATATCATTTATGTCTGACACCTTTAGGGTTTCATATTTGTACCAAACTCTTTCCTAGTTCAATCATTCCTGCCTAGCATTCTGACATCGGGAAGCTCCATCCAACTGTCCGGCCGCCGGCGTGATGTACATCTCCTTGGCCGAATCGCTATGCCACCTACCCAACCGTTTTAGGATGCGATCCGGCACGCCTGCGTTGGCTGCGACCGTTGCAGCGCCTTTGCGGAATGAGTGGGTGCCGAGGTGCTCGAGTCCCAAACCAATCTTTTGAAACGCCTCCTTGCACCAATTGCGGATCGTTGTGTAGGAGGGTGTTGTTGTCAAACTATCACGACCAGTGGTGTCAGAACCGAAGACTCGTATGAGCGGGCCTCTTTGGGTACGGTCGTAGCCTGCCAATTGGATGAAGCGTTTGGTGCACCGTACTGGACAGAAAGGACCCTGGCTTGCGGCTACAGGAACCCATGTACCTTCTCCTACCTGATCTGTCTTGGAGCGAGGAATCAGGGTCCACATGGCGTCTTGCTCGAACTCAATGTCATGCCAATTGATCGCGATGAGGTCCGAGTAGCGCAGGAAGCCGGCGTACATGAGAATTGGAATGAGCCCCTTTTGGAACTCCCCAGGTTTGTTCGATTCCAAGAATTCCGATGCCATGGCCAGGCCCTCAGATTGGTTTGAGGGTATGCTGATGGAGCAACGTGAACCTGCAAACCAGGTGTCCAAATCAGCGTTCGTGGTTTTCTTTATACTGATCTTGTCAGTGTAAAAATTCTTACTAAACTGAACCTGCATTGTAAAAAAACCATAATAGCAGAGCTGATGCAACAATGCATGCATTCATGTTTAATCAAGTTATCATTGTGACAGACAGCAGCTCTACAGTCTACTACTACCACTAGATCTGGCTGGATCTACTACTACTAACTAGCTCATGTCATGTCATCATCAGAAACGCTCGCATCATCACCACTGCTACCGGTGTCATCACTCTCACTGTCATCGCCTGCAGAACCATGCATGCCCTCGTCGTCTAGCTCCTCCTCCACCTGAAGCACCCGGCGGCCACTCCCCTTAACAAACTTGGCCTTGGCCCGCTCCTTCTCTGGCGCAGGTTGCTCCTTGCGCTTGCTGGGGCGCCTTTTCCTGCTGCTGCTCCTGATGTCCACCACCTTCTCCCACTCCATGTCATAGTCGAGCAGGCTCATTGCCAACAGATCTCCCAGCTTGGCGTTGCAGAGGCTCGTCCGGCGCCACGACTTGATGACATTCTGGCAGGAAAACCCGCGTTCGCACTCGACTGTGCTGAGTGGCAGAACAGCGACCGCAGCCCACAAACGGACTAAGTTGGGGTAGCTGGTCTGCCAGTCGCTGGTATGCAAGATGGCCTTCAAACCTGCGTGAAACGGCTGCTCTTCCTTGGGGGCAGTGGAGAGCACTGGCAGAAACGTGCGCAGCTCCACTCGTGCTGCACGCTTCTGGACACCTGCCAAACGGGAGAGCACAACCGGGTATAAAGTCAAGCACACAACATGGGAATAACGCAACCACGGAAACGGGCATGCACACATGCAGGTTAGGGGGGTTCTAGGACTAGCTCACCAGGCAAAATCGTGTCCCGGTTCTTGGCCTGAAACAGATGGACGAGGCCGTGCAGGTGCTCCTTGCACTCTGCATCTCTTTCCTCGACGCACCTCGGCCACGAGCGGGGCATGAAGAGCTTCACCCCGTTCAAGCGCGTCAGGTCCCCCAAGTGCAGCTCGAGGTTGTACACCAACTCGCGGGCGAATGAGCGGCAGCAGGTGTAACATCCTTGCATGTCCCCGCTGCTGGTGGTGTATCCCTTCACTGCTTCCTCGTGCAGCTGAAACGTGTGTACCCGGGGCTGACCCTCCTTGTCCACCCCCTCCACAGTCACTTCACAGTAGTCGGGCGAGGCGTGCCGCTCGAGGAATGCAGACAGCAACTCGCTGGTCCCACCGCCAAACTGCTGGCCACAGTTCAAGTACCTCTGCTCGATGTAGATGATGGTCCGCCTCACCTGGGAGTGCACTGCAGTGAGATCAACCTGTTGGTAGGGGGAGAAAGGGTTCATGGAAACAAAATATAAGTAACTGGGAGAAGAAGAGAACCGCATAACATAGCTCAACAACTCACATGACGCTTCTGGAATAGCAGGTTGAGCGCGTTGAGTGCCGTGTGCACATCTGCTAAGAAGAACAGGAAGTAATGAAACTTGAACGATGTCACCAGGAGGTACATCGTCGCGTCAGTCTCCTCGAGCATAACGATGACAGCAGGCAGAACGCGGACGAATCGTGCGATTGCGTCGCCGCGACTCAACCAGCGGACGGAATGGATCCCTTGGACCTCGAGGTTGGTATGAGTGAACACTTCCTGCAGCTCCTTGAACTTGAGATTGGAGTTGCTGGATCTGCCGAGGTCTTCTGCCACTGAGCGAATAACCGCGTCGATTATGCCAAGCTCTGGTAGTGCCTTAGCCGCCTCCTTTGCTGCTAGCGCTTCCCTGCCACGGGGAAAATAGCACTAACGAGGGGTTAGAACTCGCACAGCAACATACCACGTTCCACATATCAAACAGCAACGACACCAACACATCATCATTTTACCTGTGTGCAATGCAGTGAGAGGCCACCACGTGCGGTATCTCCAGTCGAAGACACCCAACAAGGCAAGTTTCGTTGCCTATCATTACAGGAGCCCCATCGGTGCTGATACCCGCCACCTTCTCCAGCGGCAGACTGATACTGTCAAGGTATCCTGTGAGCTTAGCTTGAAGGGATGCTGCATCACACTTCTCAATGGAGAGGTTAGTCAGAAACTCTGTGACGACGGCGTGCTCACGCAGAAATGTTACAAACACAATCATGTGCTTCTTTTTGACGCGGTCCGTACTCTCGTCGTAGCTCAGACCAATGAATGGACTCGAGTCAATGTAGTCTCTCTGGCGCGCACGAAGGTATGTCGCTATTGCGGCGGTAATCTCTTCGAATCAGTACCTGCACGGGCATCAACGCATGTGGTTAGTGATTGCTTCACGTAGATCACAATCTGCACCGAGATGTACTAGACCAGTGTCACTTACGTCGTGTAGTAGGCACCATAACTGCTCTTTGGGAAGCCCGGTGTGCCACGCTGCGCCAGATGTCGGACGAGGTCCACGTACATCTTGATCGGGGCATCGGACTTAGCGATGAAGAGTGCTGTCTCAAAGCGCGCGATCAGGCGCTCCTTCTCCACGTCTTTCACCTTCGGGTTGTCGTCAATCCTGCAGTTAGCTTTGAGCGCCGCCTCAGCTATCCTCTGTCCGCGCAGAGCGCGGCGGTGCTTCCGTGTGCGCTGATGCTTCCGCATTGCCCGGGTCTGCACATCGGTCGCCCCTTCTCCTTTGGCGCCGAAGTTCGTGCCCACACCGGCGTGCGCAATGCAGACCGAGCACTTTATTGACGGGAACCCTGCACGCGTCTGATACAGAACAAGCCACAGGTAGTCGTCAGACCACTGCTTGTTGTTCATAGATAAGGCTTCCTGGTATTTCTCCTCGGCTATGTCGGGCAGTTCTGAATCGGAAGTAACCTCAACTACTTTCCCCTTCCCTTTACGCCGTCAGGCCTGCGGGGAGGAGTTCCCCACACCAGACGTTGGCGTAGCTTGACTGGCACCCCACTGGATCTTTGTCTGGAGGTACCTCAATTTGATACCCCTTTTGAGACGGGGGCCGATTCGAGTAGTTCCAGCAGCGACAGGATGACGGTTCCGTGTGGGTTCGGGAGCGGTAGGAGTTGATCCGACAGCATCAGGAGTTGATGCGGCAGCGGCAGGAGTTGATGCTGCAGCGACAGGAGTTGACGCAGCAGCGACAGGAGGTGATGCGGCAGCGCCGACATGCGTCGAACACTCGCCCTGCGTCCAGATGGTAGGTGCCTCGGGGCCCGAGGAAGGGAAAACAACGGTACGAGCTGATGGCAGGACTAACGCGGGAGCAGCTGAAGCTCGTCATAGGAAGTCTAGGCCAGTAAGGGCGGGTGGCTTCGTGGCTGCGACGGATTCAGGGCCGTCACCTGCGAGCGTCGAATCCGCCATGGTTGCTCAGCTCTGCTGAGCGTGCCGAGCTTGAGGGAGAAGCTACTCCTGCTTGAGCTCGAACTTCACTTCCTGCAGGGGTTCACGAGTAGTGCAGGAACAGAATGAGGGAGCAGATGGGGGTACCCCCTCTCCCGAGCCGCCATGGCGAGGGATCTTGGTCCAGGGTTTCGGTCTTTCCAGGCAAGATGACAACACCCCCACCCCACTGCCATAATTTATGGCGTGGACCCTGCCACCAGTGGTGTGTTGTCTGTGTTGTCACTGGGCAGTTGTGTACTAGGCTAACCGTTCTCTGGTGTGATGGCTTCCAGTGAGGCAAAACGGTTTGGAGCGCACAAGCTGTAAGTACAGCGCTTGTGAAAAGATTACAAGTGTGTGGGTGGGGTGGGGTTTCGTGAATCACGGGAAGGTACAGTCTGTACACGCGTCGCGTACCCCCCCCCCCCCCCCCCCCCCCCCCCCCCCCCCCCCCCGCGGTCAAGTCCGTTTCAGTGTGACTCACTGAAGTATACTGATCTGTCAGTGTGACTTGTTCAGAAACACGTAAAATGGTCAGTGTGGCAAAATCACAAATACTGAAATTACAGTGCAAAATAGAAGCATATACTGATTCTTCAGGGAAAACGAAAATCAGAGCTACAAAATCAGCGTAATCAGCGTGTTTTATGCTGATACATGAGGGCCTGGCCATGGCGTGGACTTGGTGCAAGGAGACTAGTTCCTTGAGTCGTTGAGGACGCGGGCAATGTCGCTTGGCGTAGTCTCGCACGTGAGATGTGAATGGCCCAGTTGATAGGCACGTGGCCCCAATCATCCGATGCGCAAAGCTAACTGCCGAACATGTCAGTTGTATCACGAAGATTGTGGCCTTTTGTTGAATTGCGTGGACCAGGTACAATGCTAGTGTCGTGTCTGTGCATGGCAAGAACTGCAGTTTGACTTGTTTGCAGACTGCGCGAAATCTCGCCCAATAGGGCTCGTAGGTGCGAATGGTTGAGTCGGCCCTGGTATGCGTAGTTATCCGGAGCAATTCTTGCTTGAGCCGCCCGAGCAATCCTGCACGAGGTGTGTGAATGGTCAGGTGGCGAATGATACTCGTAATGCAAGAATCGGGCTGTGAGGCAATCCTTCCCCGGAAAAAGCACGAGTATGGGTGCCTGCGGTTAAGCACTGACTCCCATGGGTGAGGGGGATGTGAGCGAGAACGCAAGAGGCCCATTGGGGCGGGGCGGGTTGTAGTAACGGCCACCAGCTTGCCCCTGGCCAATATGGCACAACGAGCGTGAGCGACGCTCTCGCCCGTTGGGCGTGGTGCAGCACCGCTGGGATGAGGTGGGGTGGCAGAAAGGCGTATCCATGCTCAAGGGCCCAAGGGATGGAGAAGGCATCTATTGCCTCTGCGTCTGGGTGGGGAGTTTTGGAGCAGAAGCGGGCCAACTGGGTGTTGTTCGCGTTGGCAAATAAGTCGATAGAGTGCGGCCCCAAGCGCCGCTCAATGAGCCGGAACCATGGTGCTTTGATTGCGTAGTCATCCCGATCGATCGTCTTAGAGAGTTCGTCCGCTCGCGTGTTGAGTTTGCGCGGAATCCATTCGATCGTCAGTCGGACCCCAAAGGCCTCGCACGCTTGAATAATGGCTCTGCACGTCGTTGTGAGGCTGGGAGTTCGAGAACTGCCTTTGCGAATTATAAAGAAGACGCCTTGGTTGTCGGTCCGGGCAAGGACGTGTCGGTTTTGAATCCTTTTCGAGAACGTTTGCAGCGCCCACAAGACTCCATCCATTTCCCGTTGCGTACTGGATGATTTTGTGAGGTGCCCGGGCATGGTTGCGGTGGCCTCGATTCACTTTTCCGAAAACGTGTCAAGTGTCGCTCCCCAACTGTGTGCGCTGGCGTCCACGTGGACCACTGCGTCGTAGCTGTTCGGTACGTGAAATGAGGTGCCATTGAATTTGTCAAATTCTTGCAGCCAAAACTCGAGCTCTTCTATTGCTCCGGGGACCAACTGCACTTTGCTATTCCAGGAAGGGGCATCCTGAATAGTCTGTAGTAGGTTTTGGCTAAATGCGCGTGCTGTTGCGCTGATGGCGAGTGACATAGATGCGAGCATGCCGGTAACTCTGGCCACGTGGCGAATCGGGACTCTGCATTTGGCCATGCCAGCCATGCGTAATTCGTGAATGGTTGAGCGTAGCAACGCCCGCCTCTCCGGACCATTAGAAAATTGACCGCGTTTTGTATCCAGCTCGACTCCTAGAAACCGCAGCTGCTGGGTGGGTTGGAGATGCGATTTCTTAGAATTGATTACTAGTCCAGCCTTGCTGAGGTCTTGCACGACCATCTGACCCGTGGTTCGAGCTTCTGCTTCCGTGTGACATAGGAAGAGGATATCGTCGACGTAGGGGATGACTCGCACCCCAAGGCCCCGCCAACGACGGGCAAGCTGCTTGATGAGCTGTGTAAAAACGAACGGGGCTGTTGCGAGACCGAATGGTTAAGACCGAAAAACGTATGAGAGCCCGTCGAATTGGAATCCGAGGAACTTCCAGCAGGAGGAGTGGATGTCGACGTGGTGGTATCCTGATTTAAGGTTGACCGCAAACATCCAGTCGCCTGTCTGAACGAGCTCTGCCACCCGGCTTAGTCCTTCGTACTTGAACTTGGGGATGCACAAATTCTGGTTTACCCGTCGGAGGTCAAGAATCAATCAGCATTTTTCCCGTTGTACCTCTACATTCAGTGGACTAATACATAGTTGTTGTTTTGCGGGGGCGGGAGTGGCCGCATCGCTCTCAAGAAGCTCGGTTATTGCTTGCTTGGTGAACTTGGAGTAGATTAATGCTCCTGCATGGTTGTCTTGCTTGAACGGCTCGGGTGGTCCGTGCTTCCATGGCATCCAATAGCCATTTGAGATCACCGGGAGGATGAAACTGCTCTCACACTATGTGCTCCACCACGGGAATGCCGTGTGTAGGCGAACACGCATGGTCGTGACGAGCTTGTCGGTAATCGCGAACTCATAGGGGCCGTACTCCACGATCGTTCCGCCACCCGGCATATCTGTAGCCATGGACCATGGGGTTTGGGGTGACATGGGACATGCTTCGTTAGACAGAGGCATTTGGCATGTAGTTATGCGAAAGATACCTGCGATCATGTGCCCGCGAGTGTGCATGCTAGGTTCCCTTCCATTTCTCGCTCTCTCCCGCTTTCTCTCTCTCGCTCTCTCTCTCTCTCTCTCTCTCTCTTTCTCTCTCTCTTTTCGCAAGGCCTTTGCTTGTTTGGAACTGCATTCGGGTGATCTGTGCCCAACCAGAGGGGCGGTTCCGGCAGCCCCTTCGTTTGCCTGCTTTGGCTCTTATTACCCCCCTCCCTTTTTTTTTTTTTTTTTTTTTCACATAACGCATGATCGTTCTTGTCGTGCCAGGCCATACTTCGTAGCGCGGGCTCTTGGCATCATGGGACTCCGAGTCCCGCATCTTCGCTTTTCCTTGTCCTTTACAAATGATTCCTTGGCCTTCTCATGGGCTCGCATTATCCGACCATCGTGCCGCTTGCTCCTCTTCTCTCTCTCCCTCTCTCTCTCTCTCTCTCTCTCTCTCTCTCTCTCTCTCTCTCTCTCTCTCTCTCTCTATCTCTCTCTCTCTCTCTCTCTCTCTCTCTCTCTCTCTCTCTCTCTCTCTCTCTCAAGCAGTCATGTATTGATATGGGTCACAAAGGTACAGGAATGGCAAATGGTGGTAACTAGAGTGACTAAACATGGAAGCAGCCAGGAAAACAGAACTAACAAACAAACCGAGCAAGCCCATCCAGCCAAAGCATACCGATCACCTAGCTCTCAGAGCAGCCCGGTCCACCGCAGCACAAGTCCCCGAAAACCCCACAATCCGCCTATCCTTTGTTCCTCCCATACCATAGGACCACCCCTTATCCTCCTTCACCCAGCAGCTTCCTCGCAACTTCCCTGAGACACCTTCCATTCTCCCTGCCCCCACTGAAGCCTCCCCAACTCTGTATTCCTCTTCCTGACCCTCACCACGCCCCTGTATCCCACCCCTGCTGCCCCCCAGCCGCCCCCCTGCCACCGAGTTCCTTCCTCCCCAGCCCTCTAAGCCGCTCTAGCTGGTGCCTGGCGCTCCTCATACTCGTCCACCTGCATCTGCCAGAGGTCTCCCAGGCGGGGCGCCCAAGGGTCCGCTGCAGCCTGAGGGAATGCCGCTTCCGCTGCCCGGTTAGACTTGGAGAGGAGGGATGTCGCCTGGCTACGTTGGAGCATCACCGACCACCGCTGCATGTAGTGTGCGTTGAGGCGGGCAGCGGTGGTGGTGAGGCGCCCCTGGCGGTACTTCTTCTTCGCCGCATAGGTAGCCAACATACGAAGGAACTGTTGAGTGTCAGTCGCCAACGCCCCGTAGGTCTCAACCGCCAAGCCGAAAAAGCCCACATAGCCAGGCCGCCCCTCGTAGAGCCTGTGCTTGGCCTGCGATGCCTCCTCCGCTGCCCACCCCGGCGGCTTCCGCGCCCTCACGTCCCTCCTCTGCAGGACCGGGTCAGTCACCGTCACGTCCGTCGCCCAAGTCTCTCCCGACTCTTGGTCCCTGACGGCTAGGTCAGCACGCTTGTTCTGGACTGGGGGAGAGAAAGCGGTCGTCTCGTGAAAGGTTTTGTACCCGGCTTCCTGTGCCATGCGAAGAGCAGCGAAGGTCAGTGCATTGTGGGTGCGCATAGCATCCCCACCATCGGCACACCGTAGCAGGTGGTTGGGCAGACTCTTGTCAGCTATCTTGGAGTTGGACCGCTTGCAAGGGCAGACCTCCGCCACTGGTAGTTCCATGCCAAGGCGCAAGCCTAGTGCCATGGAGAACTGACCAGGGGATATTGAGAGGTCAGCCCTCGTGGGCACTGCATGGAGCCAGTCGCCTGCTCCCACTCCTTTCAGGCTGATGAGCCGAATGGCATGGCCCCGGTCCACCCCCGGCCTATCAGTTACCGTATCTGCCAGTAGCTCCTCCGCCCGCGTGTGATTGATGGCTTTGGAGAGCCCCAGCTGCAGATTGCCCATACCCCTGGGGTTCTCTCTGTATCTGTGTAGCACCGCCGCGGCCTGTGCTGGGAGCCTTGCCTCGAGCGGGGACAGCGGGTTCACCCGGGGGGGAGGTGGGGTCCATGTCGGGGAAAGAAGATCCCCGGCCCTGTGGAGTAGGTAGTCCGGTGGCAGGTTCAGCTGCTGCAGTAGAAGGTGCGCTGCTGCAGTTGAGGCTAGGTACGCGGCTGGGGCCTCGGAAATGGGATCAATGATTCCCAGGCCCCCCAGCCGAACCGGAAGCGTTGCCTGGCGCCACAGCAGGCTTTGCTCTAGCTCGCTCGGCGGGATCTGTAGCTTCGACGCCGTGAGATCTGCTCCCACCAATGCCTCGCTCCATTCCCTCCACTCCGTACGGGCCAGTGCCTCCGCCGGTGTTGTGCGAAGTAAGTACGAGATGCGGCGGGAAATGCTCCGCGATATCATGAGTAGGGCGTGCTGCGGATTGAGCTGGGCGACGAGGGGTAGCGGCGCAGCTGCCTCCGCAAGCGCCGCCCGGACCTGGTCGGTGCAGAAAGCATCGCTGCCAACCGGGCTGCCCAGCACCTTCAAACCACCTGGGTGGATGGGCAGGCCGTGTGGCAAGCCGTCCCCTCCTTCCTCCCGCACTGCGCACCATGCCGCAGACTTTGCCAGGTTGCACCGCAAACCACACGAAGCCAGCTCCGCAACGACCGTGTTGAAAGAGACGCAAGCTGCTTCGCGGGGCCCCACGATTGTGATATCATCAGCATATGCCACTATTGCCACCTCCGGAACAGTTGAAGCCACGCCGAGCAGAATAGGCTGGATCGCCGCTGCAAAAAGAAGAGGTCCCAGCGGGTCCCCTTGGCGAACACCCCTGGAGCTTTGGATGTGCTCCACTTCCAGGCGGGGGTCCACTAAAAGCCGCGAGGGGCCATCGTAGAGGTTCCTAACGAGCGGGAGCAGCGGGTTGAGGCTGGACCACTGAAGGGCGGCTAGAAATGACGTGCGTTCTACGCTGTTGAAAGCGTTCTCCACATCCAGCTGTAGAGCTATGCGGGTCTCGTCATCTCGGAGTAGGGAGCGAACCGTGTGGATAATACACTCCGCGCCCCCAGGGACCGCTACGCCGAACTGAACGGGGAGGAAGAACTCTCGGATTTTCGGGCCTAAACTGTGTAGCGCCGCCTTTGCTACCACGCGTAGTAAAGCCTCGCCTATTGCGATCGGTCTAACTCCTCCCCCGGGCTTCTCTAATGCTATGAGTTGGGAGGGGAGTAGAAGGTCGCGGACTTTTTGGCTCTGGAAGGAACTGGCGAGGCGAGTAACCACGTTTGCGAGGAGCAGAAGGATCTCCTCACTCGCTAGGGCTGGGTCTCTCAGGTGTTCGAAACAGCAGCCTGAAGGCCCCGCTCCCACCCCATTCGGGCACTTCGCGAGAATTTCGCGAAGAGCTTCTAGTGGGATTCTGAGCTCAGAGTCAGTGATCCCGGTAACCCAGGCTGGCGTTGGGGTGCGAGAGGACGGGTGTTTCGCTCTCAGGGCAGTCAACGTCGCCAAATTCGGCTCGGCGAGAGGGCTGGTGCGTAACGCTGCAACTGCTTTCGAAATGTTGCCTTTTTTAACCAAACCCTCTGCCCTCGTGCAAACCCCTTCGTCGTCATTTTGGTGTCTAAGCGGAGCACCTGTGTCGGGGATGGTGCAAGCAGCTTCGAACAACCCCTCCCAATCTCCTAACTGGAACTGATGCAGCCGAGCCTCAATTGATGCCCATCGGCTGCCAGTGACTGGCTCTGGTGGTGGACGCAGCGTCAGCCTCGGGAGGTATAGCAGGATCGCCCATGCGCCTGGGCATTCTGGGTTTGATGACAGCCGTAGGAGTGGCGCGAGGAGGCACAGGCAGTATTTGTCTAACACCTGGGGTGGTAGCCGTCTGACTAGGAACGGTTGGTCTATTTGTTGGAGAAGGTCCATGGTCCACGTGCTAGCTATCTGCCAGATGGCGTCGACCTCTGCCAGGGTGGCAGGCGATTTCACCTCGTTGGCGACCGCTGCGGCCGGGACCGACCCTCCCACAGCATGGGATGTTTCTCCGTCCGCTCCCTCCCCTGTGCCTCTCGCTCGATTCCGCCCTCTTCCCACTTCCTCCTCGTTGTCCAGCGAAACCTCTTCCGACTCTGGGCCTGGCTCCTCTCCACACATAAAATCTGGATCCCCGTTCTCCTCAGCAGAGCCGGCTACGTCCCCATTGGCCGCAGCCTCCGAAACCTCTGGACGGTCATGACGTTCCCGCCACGGGCCTGTTCGGGGTTGGATCTCTGCTCCCCCCAGACGAGCAACACTCCCGCGCCCTCCCCCTCGCCTTCCGCGGCCCATACCGCGTAAACCCCGGCCCGCCGCCGGCGCCGATCGAGCCGTGGCCTCCAGTCCCGCTCTCCCCGCCGGCATCCACGGCGTACGGCCTCCCCTTGGAGGGCCCCACGTGACAGTGCCCAGTCGAGCCGAGCGACGAGTGGCAACGCCTTCTGCGGCTGGGGCCGCAGGGCTTGGCGGTAAGTGGGCGCCTGCTCCATTGTCCTGGTTAGAGGCCGGCTGATCTGCTTGGTGGGTTGCTGTCGTCCCATGTGCTACCTCATTGAGTCCGGAGACCCCCCTTGCCTCTTGCGTATGCGCAGATGACTACCGACGCGCTCGCTCTGATGGCGGTTGCCCTTGCAGAAGCCAGCCCAGGAGGGGTCCCGGGGAGCCAGGTCCCAGCCCTGCTCCGGGCCGTCTCGGCGCTGGCTGGGCGCGCAACTTCTTCTTCGACTTCGCCTGTGCCGCGCTGGAAGAATCGCCGTGTGCGTGTCCTGGAAACTCACCCTCCGCCTGGGCACACTCCTGCCTGTTTGCGGCCACGGCATCAACAGGCGTTTCGGCGCACGCAGCGGCAGTCATCACGTCTTCCGCCGACGGGGCTCCGCCCTGCTCCCCAGTCGCAGCAGACATCGCCGCCGCCAGCACAGCCGCAGTTACAGGTGCCGGCGACGTGGACAACACCACCTCCGCGGTCTGTTCCTTATCCGCGCCCGGACTTGGCTCCTCAGCCCCCGGCTGTGCAACCCGTGGGATGGCAGAGGGTGAAGTTGAGCCGCCGCCAAAGGCAGCGGCAGAAACGCCAGCAGACACCAGGCCCGCCGCCGTCGCTGCTGCAGATGCAGCAGCAGCAACAGCCTCAGGCACCATTGCAGCCGCCAAACTGGGTGCCGCAGCAGCCACCAGCTCAGTCCCCGATACGTCGTTTTCCCCTGCCCCTCCAGCCGCAGCCGCCACGTCCCTCAATGCCCCACGTTCCACCGCCAGTTTTTTCGTATAGGCCTCCATGCCATACGGCTGCCCCTTCTTTTCCGGTCTTGCATGCATTAAGAGCCATGCTCCCAACATTTTTTTTTTTATTTTTTTTTTTAGGTCCACAAACTTAGCCCGTTAGTCCTTTCCACTATTTCCATAAAAGCATACAAGCATTATTTCAAATGACATGCTCACCGAGGACTCCTAGTCCTACACCCCTTGCCTTGGGGTCGGCCCGCGGCCGTCCTAGCATCCCCTATGGGATAGGCCAGCGGCCTTTGAACTCCCTAGTGCCATCAAAATGCCCTCATTCAAGCGCCTCGCCACCGGGTGATTGCCCTCTCGGGAATTCACACCACCGATGCGGGTCCTTGGGGCTCCGCCTCCATTGTCGGGGCAAGCATTTGCCATGTGGCCAGGCTGCCACAACGGAAGCATGAGCCATGAAAGCTCCTTCCGTTGCTGTCGAGTGGCGGGCCACGCTTATTGCCGAAGGCCATGGGCCCACGCCCTCCGCCACGTGGAGTGCGATTGAAGTTGCCTTGGGCGCACTCCATGGCCGCGACGTCCGCGACGGCCTGCTTGAACGGGCGTGAAGTGAAGACGCTCTTGTCTTCATAGAGCTTGAACCGGTTGGCGGTGCGGAAATTGGTATAGTCGGCGATGTGGAGTAACTTGAAGCGGCTCTCGATGAGCGTGAACGCTTCGCCAAGGTATTCGAGGGCGCTTGCTGGCTCGTTGTGTCGCACCTTGTGCTATGCATGCTTCAGGTATGCCCGCAGGTGTTCCAGGACCTCGGCTTGCTCGCGCACGGCGGCGTTCTTGAACGAGGCGGCGGTGAGCGTGGGATTGGGAGAGGGGAGTGGAGGGAGTTGTTCAACGGGTGCAAAAGCGGCATTTTTAGCATGTGCCTCACCATCGTCGTCATCTTCGTTGTCGCTGTCGGTGGGGTTGCTTATGACTGGGGCGGCAGCGGCGCGTGTGTCTTCGCCCCTTCCGATTTTTGTAGTGCGAGCGCGCTTCACGGACTCCGATTTTGCCTTTTCGGTTTTAGCAGAAACAGAAGTTGCGTTCGGTGTAGCGATTTCTTCAGTAACAGCAAGGGCCTGCTGCTGTAACAGGGTCAGCAGCTGCTGAAGTTGGGCTGCAGTGAAATTCGGTGCCACTTGCGCGCCAGTCGCCACTTGCGCGTGAGGCCCCACAGGCGCGTCAGGGCCCACAGGCGCGTCAGGGCCCTGAGGCCTGCGACGCTGACGCGGCCGCGGGGTGCCAGCCGTGCTGGTTGGCGCCGTCTTGGCGCTTCCCGTCGTGGCCGGCGCGTCAGGGGCCACAGGGGCTCGAGGCACACCAGGGGCGTGTGCCTCGACGCCAGCGGCGTGTGCCTCTGTCCCGCCCAGCAGAACGTCAACGTCGGTCGGGGAAACTTCCCCGTCGTCTGCCCGGCGCTTGTTCGGGCGATCGCCCGCTATTTCGCGTGCGTTTCTTCGAGACTCGGGTCGAGCAGGGGCGGTAGCGGTGTTAGCCTCTCCGCCGTTAAGTGCCATATTTGCTGCGTTGTGCGCGACAATATCTGAGAGTAAGGTTGACGGGGATTGAAAGCGAGGAAGGGACTTCAGCTTCGCCAGCTTGGGTGTGGGAGGCGAAAATTGAGAACGGGAAGATTGAGAACGGAAATTTGAGAATGGAAAATTGGCTAAACCGTTTGAAAATGAGAGACGTGGGTGGGGGGAAGTGACCTCCAGCCCACGTTTTGTACTCCAAAACGAGCGATTAGCGCGGTTCGACGCTGCCCATTCCTACATTACAAGCAGCTTCGCTTTCAAAATACATAATTTTGAAAAGCGTTACAGGTTTTAAATATATACATATTATCAATCTCAGTCATTACATTCACTCTTATCTGAAGTCAACACTTCCGCTGCAATACTACCTGCTATCAACTCTGAGCGATCCTTCGGAAAACCCAATTGGGATTGTAACATACATGTTGGCAATATCAAATAACAGGCTACACCCTCCCACGGTCTATGGGATTCGTCTAGAAGAGCGGGGGTGTATATTCAAAGTTTTTTTTGGGTAGGCTGAATCCAAAGTTTTTTGTTATGTACCTTGGCTGATTTTTCAGTGTATTTTTTTAACCTTGTCTGTTTTTTCAGCCTTTTTGTAGGAGTGTAGTCTGTGAACTCAGCCTTGTACTAGGACCGTATTAGTCCTAGTACACTGTACTAACACAGTCAATCACGAGCGAAAAATCGAAATTTCCCTCGCGCGGCATCGCACAATTGCGCTCATATTCAAATCCGACCAATCGGAGCAAGATTCGTGTTGCGCAGCGGGCAGCAGGCAGTGTTGGCAAGATTATGGCGTGTGCAAAGTGCGCAAAAAATCGACGTCGAGCAACGTCGGTGAATTTCCACCCTCGGATCAAAGGTTCCAACCGTCACGATTCACCGACGTTCCTCGACGTCGAGTTTGTGCAGCACTTTGTACACGCCATTAGTTACCAACGCATGGCTTGCAGCACGCCAGGGTCCTCCGTTTGATTCATCAGAAATTTTTATTTTCTGTGTCTGGAGTACCGTATCTGATACTGTATTCGGCCAGATCTTGTCTGCGTTTGTCAGATTTTGGGGTCAAGTGGTTCCGGCTTGACTGGTCACTGCAGATTCGCCCTGACACTTCAATTCGCACAACACAGCAAATATTCGCCTCGAACGCTGCGCCTCGCACGACACCACAAACATCCACCCCACCGCACCTTCCCTGCAAACAGACATGTGATATGTTCTATACTATTGTTTTTATGAGTATACATGATCAGCTTAATTTTTACCTCACAGTGAAAGTTCAGCCTAAAATCTTTGGGTTGTCTGAATTATCAGCCTACAAAATTGTGGCCACACTGACTCACAGAGCTCCAACAGGGGTGGACGCTGATCAATCAGCGTGCCTCAAAACGAATCTAGGGGCCTGATTCCTATCCTCGTATCAAGAGAACCTCATATCAACCTCCCACGGAAAATTCCCCTAAACCCAAAACCTCTCGCTAGTTTTACTAGGCAAAAAAGTACAATCTTGATATGAGGTTCTCTTGATACGAGGATAGGAATCAAGGCCTATTTTTCAAGGGTAAAACACACTGATTACACTTACCAGCGGCCAATTTCCGGAGTTTACCCTGATTTTGACAGCCTATTTTGTCTGTTACCCTTTCCACAAAAGTGTAGACTTTCAGAGTAGGCTGATTTTGCAAGGGTGCCTTGACTTTTAGCCTTGCCAAACAGGGTGCGAAAAAACGTGCACTGAACCAGGAATATGTTTTTTTCGCGCCTCCCATACCTACGTACCACACTTTCCTCGCCTCTCTCTCATCCAATCCCCTCCTTTCGAGGCTCGGAGTTCGAGCCCCAATTCCCCCATCCGTTCGCCTCTCCCAGTTCATCAGCCCCGTTCCCTTTGTCACTTCCAGCCTCACTCCCCCCGTTTCCTTGGGCTCTCCAAATCCAAACCTCATCCCCCCCCATTTTCTTCACACATCTCCCAGCCCCTGTCCCCCCATTCCCTCCAGGGCTCTCATTATCAGACCAAATTGGTCTGATAGTCTGATTTTCAGATGTACTTTTTTTGTTTCATTTGATTTGTAAAACGAAGTAGTAAATTTTGTTTTAACAGTAAGACTTGTACTTTTTTTTTCGCCTATTTTTTCAGAGCAAGCGTAACACTTCATCTGAAATTTCATATAACGAGTATTTTTCCGTCTAACACTGGTCCCCCCCCTCCCCCGCCTCCCTACCCAGCCGCCTCCCCTCCCCTTCTCGCAACCCTTCTCCTTCCCCAATTTCTCGCTCCTTCCCCTATCAGCCCAGCATTTCACCCTCCCGCCCCCCCCCTCCAGCCCTTCTTCAAAGTTTCGATCCTCCTGACTGCAGCCCCAGTGCAGCCCCAGCGCAAGCTTCGAATCCCAAGTCCCCACCTTCCTTCAACCTTTCCCCCTCATTCCACGCGCGGCCCAACTCACCTATAGCCCATCGTCACCCAACTTGTCATACGCCTGTCCGCTAGCGCACTACCAGCCCCACACAAGCGGCATTATTGTGAGAGTACGACGGCTTATGCCAGCTATGCTTGCTTGCCTTTACTTTATCATGCTATTTCTAGCATAGGATAATTATATGCATGCATGAATTGCTTGATTTCCTAGGCTAGGTGCTTTCCTATATTTTATTATAGTTATAGCACCGAGCTAGGTTGTGTGCACCGAATTCTGGCTTTTCGGTTGCCACCGAATTGCCTTCTACCGAATTCGGTAAGGATCTGTTCGGGACGCTTCGCGACCCGCGGAACCTTCGCGTAACACCTGGTTACGGGGCCTTGTGTCGAGCCTATATATAGCCTCGTGTTGTACCCAGGTGATCATTCAATTCAATTACCATCTCTTTTCTGAGCTCGATCCTAGATCCTCACACTTGGTAATCAGAGCCTGTTTGCAAGCGAAGTTTTTCGACCGCTTAAACCTAGCTTTTAAAACCGCGGGGGCGACGACGGAAAGCGCCGATTTCGGGTACGTAAACCAGTTCCGCGCTATTTTCTAACGTCCCCCTCGAACCGGTTTTCGAACACTCCTCAGGTCCAGTGGCGGAAAAGTTGGAATTTCGACCGTCAGATCGATTCGAATCTCAACGGCCTCGAGAATTTCGCCCAAAAACGTTGGAATTTGGAGCGTCGGATCGAATTCTTCTCAACGGCCGAGATCAGACGCGAATTTCGACTAAGGGAGAATAGCGCGACCTACAGAATCAGCCCTCGTCATTTCTGCAGTCAACTCGACTCACAGTAAGATGACCAGCGCCTGAAATTCATTTATTTTCGTCGCAAATCTTCTTATAAATCGCCAAATGGAGGAAAACGGTGATAATTCCGTACGGAAAATTACGGAGTTACACACCGGCCTGGACCAGACGCGAGCGGCACTCCAGCGAATAGAGGAGCTTCTCGCGAACCAGTCGGCAGCCGCCATAGCAGTAGCGAACGCA